TCATTAGGTCCTGGAGAGCAGAGGGTCTGTTTGGGTTGATTTGTTTGTTTGCTTCTTTGTTTTTCTTTTGTTTTGTTTTTTATCCCCATAGTACCTAGCTCAATGTTGAGAACACATTATTAAGAGCTTGTTGAAGTGAATAGAATTCTAGGTTCCTAGAATCATTCTGACCTCTAGTCAGGGAGTGTTATTCCAAAATACAGCAAAAGGGGAAAAAATGATTGAAAAGATGAGAAATAGGGATGGCAAAAAAAGGTCAAAGGCTTTAAGGCTGTTAAACCAAGGAAAGAGAAAAGTATAAGATGTGACTTAATTACTGAGTCTAAGTATACAAAAGGTTTATCACAAGGAAAATGATGCACAGTCCTTTCTCTCATCCACAGAGAGCTAATCAAGAGCAAAAGGGCTTGACTGAAAGTCAGGAAAGATTTTGCCTGGATGCAGGAACTCATTTATTTGAAAATGATAAAACAATGGAATGGGAACAAGAGAAGCCTCCATCCCTGGAGAGCTTCAAGAAGAGAAAAAAATGACCACCCATCCTATAATAGCTTAGCTAGTCCTCCTTCCCTCCCCTCCCCGCTTAAAGGCAGAGGCCTGATCCATAATATAATAATAGCAATAATAATGAGGAGGAAGCTACTCACCTCTTGCTCTAGGAGTCTATTATGACATTGGCTTTAGTGTCACACAGGTTTGTTAGGAGGCATAACTGAGATAATGTGTGTAAAGTGCTTTGCAAACTTAAAGCACACTATAAATATCAGCTATGATTATTTGCTACCTCTTCTAGACAATGTGCTGCTTTTCAATATATTTTATGGCATAGTTTATGCCCTTTAAGATAAGATAATGGATTTTTTAACCAAAATTATAGCTGGACAAATTGGTAGAAAAATACGCTCTACTTTTTTTAAATCTAATGACCTTTCAACCTGGTGATGAATTAAGATTTTGATATGCCATACAAAGAATGACATTAGATTTTTTTTTATTTCCATTTAAGCTATTAATCAGTTTTCCTGTTTCTAGTGATACCTGTCCCTTGACATTAATTCAGTATCAGTATATTTGAAATGAATGGAATGAATGAATGAATGAATTGAAAAAAAAATTTAGTAAACACTTACTATGAGCATGGGCAAGTCATTTAACCCTGTTTGCCTCAGTTTCCTCATCTGTAAAGTGATCTGGAGAAGGAAATGGCAAACCACTCCAGTATCCTTGCCAAGAAAATTCCAAATGGGGTCACGGGGAGTTGAATGACTAAAAAAAAAAAAAACAAAAACGATTGAATGCCAAGAGCCAAGCACTGTGTTAATTGTAAGGGATGCAAATATATAAACAAAGATAGTCCCTACCTTTAGGAACTTAAATTCAAATGGAGGAGATGGCACATAAAGCTGGATGGTGGCCAGGGAGGGGTACTTTGGCCCAGAAAGTTACAGGGATATGAGTCAGGTTGCAGGGGAGTAGATTAATACACTTCATCCAGGAACAAGGCGATTGTCAAGGAATCTATGGCCAGAGAACAGGGAATGAAGTGAGGGATGGTGGCTGGGGCTTTCCCAAAATGGTGGTCAAAGAGAAACAGTCACCAAAGAAGTGGAAATTTTTCCGTGGTTAATTGATGGCCAGACTAGGAAAAAAATATTCCTCCCTGCATATAGTTCCCAGTAGATGGCATAGTACAGTAACAAGAACACTGACATAGGGTCAAATGACCCAGATTCAAATTTTGGCTTTGCCACTTATTAGTTATGGGACTTTGGGTCACTTAACCTTCCTGAGCCTCAGTCTCCCTACCTGTAAAATGGGAATAATAATAATACCTGTTGCAATATTGCATTTACCTCACAGATATGAGTAGGGAAAGCACTTTGTAGACCTTAAAATGGTAAGTTAATAGGTTATTATTATTTCTATCATTTCACAAGCAAATCCTTTCTATAGCTCGCTGTGCCATTTTTAAATTTTTGCTTCACTTCCTATATGAAATCACAAGTAAAATATTCCACATTTGATAGCTCCCTCAGCTTAACTTATTTGGAATGTCTTCAAGGCTGTTGTTCAGTCGTTTTTCAGTTGTGTCCAATTCTTCATGACCCCATTTGGGATTTTCCTGGCAAAGATATTGGAGTCGTTTGCCATTTCCTTCTGCAGCTCATTTTATAGATGATGAAACAGGTCAGCAGGGTTAAGTGACTTGCCCAGAGTCACAAAACTAGTAAGTGTCTGAGGCTGGATTTGAGCTCAGAAAGATGAATCTTCCTGCCTCCAGGTCTGGCACTCTATCCATTGTATAACCTAGGTGTCCCTTCCTCTAGTCTATGAAAGTCCTAAACCCACAGAACAATTCTGGATTGAGAGTCAAGTCATGGCAAAGGGAGTCAAGTTTTAGCATGTTCAGATTGCATGGATAATTATTAAAGTATGCATACTGGACCCTATAGTAATTATTAAAATCCTCATTTAAACTGCTAATCAAGCTGTATGAATTTTGAAATGTGGAATCTAGTTCTTCAGTCAATTTTTTTAACTGTACAATCCAATGAAGAACAATGGATAGTGGAAGCATAAGGCCTCAAAACCAGAGGGTTTGTATTGTTTTAGGGAAATCACCTCTGGGGCTTAGTGCAGTGCTGTGACTAAATCTTGATTCACTAAGTATTACTTAAAGTTGACAAATTTTAATGTCATTTCCCACCCCACCCTCACCCCTTTCCTGATACCTCCAGATCCTAGAGCCTTCCTCTCTATCCCTTGACTTTACCTTGTATCTATTTCAAATATATTTTGCATTTCTTTGTATGTGTATATGTTATTTCTTCCAACAAAATGAAAGCTTCTTGAAGGCAAGGACTGCTTCATTTTTGTCCCAACTTGTCTCATATGTAGCACACTACTATCCATAGTAAGTATTTAATAAGCACCTGTTAATTGATTGATTCCCCTGACCTGACTTTTGATGATTGTGAGATATATATACGTGTATATATATATATATACACACACACACACACATATTTGTATGTATATGTATATATATCACAATGGTCAGTGAAATAGGCAGGAAGGAAAACAAAAAACTTCAGTCCTGAGTGATGTATCCCAAATAATAAGAAGCTTGTTATCTGACTAAGATAGCTAAAAGTTAGCTAAGATATAGCTAACTTTTATATTATTTAGAGAGAGGACCATTGAACCTTGCTTATTTCCTGTTCATGAAAGGCATTAAAATTGAACAGTTTGCTTAAAGTTCATTACCATTGCAACTGCTTAGGAAACTGTATCAGAGGCCTCCTCAAATGAAACCTTCCATACCTATTCATTTGGCTAGCATAATGTAAGAGAAGATTGATGAATAATTTTGAGGAACTGAGAATATACTTGGTCCTCATTCTGTATGAAACTCACAATCCTTTAGAGCTAGAAAGAATCTTAATCCAGTGAACCCATTACAGCTAATCCAGCCCTCTTATTGCATCTTTTAAAATTACTTTTAAATTAACAATTTATTTAAAGTTATTTTTAAAATTTGCGTAAAATTTACTTTTTCTCTCTCTTACCTCACCTTACCTTTGGGAAGGAAATAATAGGAAAAAAAACAAAACATATGTAATAAATAAGCAAAAGATCTGTGACTTTTTTTTTTGCTTTTTAGTGAGGCAATTGGGGTTAAGTGACTTGCCCAGGGTCACACAGCTAGTAAGTGTCAAAGGCTGGATTTGAACTCAGGTTGTCCTGACTCCAAGGCCAGAGCTCTATCCACTGGACCACCTAGCTTCCCCAATCTGTGACTTCTTCAGAGTGTAAACCCCTCCCCCAATGCAGATCACAACCCCTTCATATCTTAGAAGAAGGTCATCTTCATGGGTTGCTTTGATCAAAACAATTCATCACAGAGGCAGCTGGTGGCACCTCGAGTCAGGACGACCTGAGTTCAAATCTGGTCTCAGATAGTTACTGGCTGTGACCTTGTGCAAGTCATCTAACCTCTGTCTGCCTCAGTTTCCTCAACTGTAAAATGAGGATATTCACAGCACCTACCTCACCAAGTTGTTGTGATGATCAAATGAGATATTATTTTAAAAGTCCTTAGCACAGTGCCTAGCATGTAGTAGGTGCTATATGAATGCTTATTTCCTACCCCTAACCCCAGCATTCTGGTGATGAGCCTTCATCTTGGAATGGAAGTCCATCACTAGGCAGATACCTGAAGCTGTTGCAGGTAAGTAACACCTAACAGAACTTACACCCTGCTAGGAGAGACTCTGAAAGCCCAAAGTCCCCATGAGGTCTAGGAGGAGGACTTTGAGGGAGACTTTGTGGCCTATAAATTCTTCGTTTCAATATATTCATGGCTTGAACAGCTTCTATTTTTTCTCCTCACAGTTAATGATCAATCATAGTAAATAGTTACTTTAATAATAGAAATATTTTCCTCTTAATCCTAAATATCTTAGCTTCTCCAGTGTCATCTAAAGGTACCCATTTGTCCAATAGCATTCACATCTAAATTAATCTTTTTATTTCTTTACTACTCAGTACTACAGGAGCTCACCATTAAATTTTAATAACAATAGAATATACTTTATTCTAGAACTTTGCTATATTCTTGTTTTAACTGGAAATGAAGCTTTTTTGTCTTAAGGAGTCAAAATTCTTATATGGACTTTCCTTCCCCTTATTACCTTGGTTTCTCTCTCTTGCACACACACACACACACACACACACACACACACACACACACACACATACCACATGCCCTGTCTTGGTTTTGGGGCATGCGTAAATGTGACAGGGAAGTAATTGATCACTGTGGGGACCTGATGCTGTTAGACTGGCCACTCAACCTACAGTAGTTTATGGTAGATGGCAGTTAATCATTTCCTTAAATGATGCTGGTCTAAAAACAGTTGATTGTTACTCACCAGACTAACGTTATCCATCCTTTCTGCTCTAAGTAGTTACAGTTGCCATTTTTCCCTTCTTCCCAGACGGCTGGGTTTCAGGAGATTTTGACTGAGGTGGAAATTTTAGCGGTGATTGTGGGCTGCCTATGTCATGACCTCGACCACAGGGGAACCAACAATGCCTTCCAAGCTAAGTAAGTGTTCTAATTGTTGCTATTTTAATGCATTTGCCCTTCTGTTCAGAGCAAAAGGTGAGGAGCGCTGGAGAATAAGAGCATTCATTTCTGGCATCCTTGGCCAAGGCCACAGAGGCTCTGGCTTCTGTGTCTTGGGGACCCATCCATCTTGATAATTCCCTACTCCTTTTTTAATTGCAAATTTGCCCTTTGTGTCATGCTGTTGATTTGGGTTGTCCCTACTGACCCCAGTCAGATACAAGGCTCAATTTTAAAAGGGCCTCTTTCTTCTAATGCACAGCCATAGGAGCTCCTTGTAATCCATCCTTCCTGTCTTCAAAATCTGGATTGAATTCTGCATCAAAGTATATTTAGGAAAGAACTTAAAGTGAACTATGCCTTCATTCCCTGATAGACATTTCTGGACAAATCTGTTGTTATGTGGTATTTGTAGCACTGTACAAGTTATTACAGTATGAATCTATAGGATCGGTCAATCAGTCAAATTATAAGCATTAACTAAGTACTTACTATATGCCAGGCACTATGCTAAGTATTGAGGATACAAAGAAAAAGCAAGAAGCAGTTCCAACCCTCAGGGAACTTACATTCTAATGGGGGAGGCAATATCTAAGTATAAAGTACAAACAAAATATGTAAACAACTATGTAAAACAAGATATAGACAGGATAAATATGAAATAATCAATAGAGAGTTCCTGCTCTCAAAAACCTCAGCCTAATGGGGGAAACAACATGCAAATTTTTGTTGTGGTTGTTTAGTTGGTTGGCTCTGACTCTTCACGATTCCATTTGGGATTTTCTTGGCAAAGATACTGGAGTGGTCTGCCATTTCTTTCTCCATCTCATTTTATAAATGAGGAAACTGAGGCCAACAGGGTTAAGTGACTTGCCCAAGGTCACACAGTCAGTAAATGTCTGAGGCCAGATTTGCATTCAGGTCCTCCGAGTACAAACAAGATATATTCAGGATACATTACAAATAATCAATAGTGGGAAGGCACTAGTATTGAGGGGGATCAGGAAAGGCTTCACACAGGACATGGGATTTTAACTGGAACACGAGAGAATCCAGAGAAACTAGGAGGCAGAAATGAGAAGGGAGAGAATTGCAGGCATGAGGGGACAGTCAGTGAATATATCCAGAGTTGTGAGGAGGAAAGTGTTTGTAAGGAACAGCAAGCCAGTCCTGATAGCTGAGGAAACCAGGAAAAGCCTGCTGGTGCAGATGGTACCTCTACTGAATCTTGAAGAATGCTAGGGATTCTGGAAGGCAGAAGCAAAGAAAGAGAACATTCCAAGCGCAGGGAACAGCAGAGGCACAGAAGGGGAAACAAAGTGTTAGGTGTGAGGAAGAACAAACGGGCCAATGCGGCCAGTCTAGAGAGAGAGTGAGTGGAGGTGGGTAACATGAGAAGACTGGAAATAGGGGGAAAAGCTCAAGTTGCCAAAAGGTTTAAAGTGACAAAAGAAACAGTTTTTGTTACATCCTAGAGAAGTGTTTGAGTAATGAGATGCTAGATAGGCCTACATGTTGAGGAATTATTGTTGGCAGCTGTGTAGTAGATGGATTTGAGGAGGCACAGACTTGAGGCGATGAGCCAGGCAGGCAAGAGGGACTGAGGGGCTAAACCAGGATGTGGGCATAGAAATAGAAAGAAGAGGCTATATGCAAGAGATGGAGAGTTAGAAACAACAAGACTTGGCAACTGATTGGTTGGATGGAGTGAGTGAGAGGGGAGAGTGGAAGATGACGTTGAAGTTGCAAATCTGGGTGACTGGAAGGAGGGTAGTGCCCTTGACAAGAATCAGGAAATCAAGAAATTCAAGAACTTTCTAGGTACAAAATAGTCAGCTAGCTATTGAGTACTGGTTGACTAACATGTAGTCAGTTAACTATGGTGGATATACAATGAAATTGCTTGCACACAGGAATCATACTGGTTAACTGGCTGTGTGACCCTGGGCAAGTCACTTGACCTCCATGCCTCAGTTTGCTCATCTGTAAAAATGGAGGTAATCATAGCACATATCTGCTATTGTGAAGATCAGATGACATAATATTTGTAAAGAACTTTGCAAACCTTAATGTGCTATATAAATGCTAACTATTATTAAATGTGCAGGATGAATGGGGCTTTTCTCTAAAGTGGGAGTGGGGCATCCTTCTTCCCTAAATGGTTAGTTTTCTCTCCAAGAAAGATTGCTATCCTATGCCTCACCTCATGATTATCTGCTGGCCCATGTCACTACATGGCATGATTGCTTCTGTGCCATCAGAGTCAGAGACCCACCACCATGGTGTTCTCCTTACGCATCCCTGTAATTCCTATGGAGGTACAAGTCAAATTCTCTTGGGAATAGGCCACCTCCTCCTGTGGTGAAAATGTACTTGCAATTAGACCATTCTCTGTACCCCATGCTCAAGAATTCCTATTCATTATTTTGTTTAGGTATATGCATGTCATACATAGATACAGTACTAGTTTTATGATATTTTAGTACACAAAAAAAGTTTATCAGTCATTGTACTGCACTGGGTGCTAGAGAGGTACAAAGATAGATGTTGTCAAATCAATACAGAAATGTTTCTGGCAGGTAGATGGCACAGTCTAGAATGGGAACTCAAGTCAGGAAGATCTGAGTTCAAATCCAACCTCAGACACTTACTAGCTGTGTGACCCAGGGCAAGTCACTTAACCTCTACCTGCCTCAGTCTCCTCATCTATAAATTAATATAATAATAGCAACTAGGGTTGTTGTGAGGATAAAATGAAATTATATTTACAAAGTATGTTGCAAAGCTTAGTGCACTATATAAATGCTAGCTATCATTATTATCAAATAGAATTTACTCTAGGATATAATTGTGAGACTCAGTTATTGTATTGTGCTATAATACAGTGACAATCTCAGGTAGTATTAAGATTTGTTTGGTAGTTTGCCCCTGTTACGAATGGCGTTAGACTGTCTGTTTTAAGCTATTCTATCTATTTTTTTTAAATAGCTGTACTATCTTCTCCCTCACTGTCAGGCTATTCTTGCAGCAGTAACTGTAACTGCTTTTGGAATCTTCCCTCCCCTCCCCTTTCTTTCCTCTCTCTCTCTTAACCACTACTTATGATTGACTTCTTATGAACTGCCCCAGGCCATGGAAGCAAAATAACCAAAGTTGTTAGAATTGTGCATAGAGTAAATAGGCTCTGAGTGAGGACCTGGGGGCACCCTCTGCCCCAGTGAGTAATGCTCATAGGCCTTGGTGCACCGACCTTGTAAAACCCGAGTTGGCTTCTCACAGGCCATTTTGTCAGGCATGCTCTGGATAGTTGCAGCTAGCAGGAAGAGAAGTGACCCATGCGTGAGTGAGTTGTTATTGCATTTAATTTTTGATACCCACAGGCCAAGACTTAGAATCACAACAGCACAGAGATGGACAGCATCTTAGTGATTATTTGGTACAATCCCTTTATTTTACAGATGAGGCAACAGAGGCTTAGAGGTGGTAAGTCATTTGCCCAAGGTCATCCAACTCCTGACATGTTTAATAGATATTAAGGTAACCTGGAGTGCTGGACTCTCTCAGGAAGACCTTGGTCCAAGATGCACCACTGATGCCTACTGGTCATGTGATGTTACATAAGTCACCTAACATCTTGGTGACTCTCTAAGAACATAAGGTGTGTTAAGAGAAGCAGTTCCTTATTGGCAGGTCCCTACACAGATGAAATCGCAGGTACAGTTTTAAAAAAAATCACTGCTAGCAGGCTTCTATTCTGTCTTCGCACTATTTGAGATCTGCATTATGTATTTAATATTAAGTTATCTGATGTATTTTCGATGTGGTCATATTAATCTCACATGTTTTCAGGTCTATCCCTTTACAAAATTGTCTACAGCCTTGCACCAATTAGAGTCATTTTTGTGCTAAGTACATACAGTGACACACCACACTCTGGTGTTTTCCCTTCAACTATAATGGGCACTATTAATTATAATGGGTACTATTAATTATAATGGGAACTATAACTATAGCTTATAATTATGCAGAATTTCAGAGTTACCAAGGGCTTTCACCTGTGATATTTCATTTGACCTCACAGTAACACTTGGCAATGGATTGTGCAAGAATCCTTATCATCCCCATTTTATAGATGAGGAAACTGAGGCTTAGAGAAATGAAATGGCTTACTCAAGGCTATACAATGAGTTTCTAGGCTGAGACTTGAACCCAGTGGTCTCTTGACTCCCAGTCTTTTGCTACTTTCATTATGCCATGCATTTAGAAACTTATTCTTTTTAACATTCAGAATAAGATTTGGTCAATGAATGTGCCAGTGTTTAGCTCATTTCTCCAAGAGAAATCTTTGTCCTTATTATCTTTACTTCTTGGGTGATTTGGAAAGAAAGGATTTAAATGCACCAACATAAAGCGTTTTAATATAGTCTATAAAGAAATTGTTGAAAATGCTAAGAAGGGTGCAAATTGCAATGAAAAGTGCAAAATTCCCCATGAAAAGAGAGTTGCAACTTTATTAATAACAAGTGATGTATTATTTCAGTCTCACTGATGAATGAACCTTTGCATTTTCATATTTTATCTTTAATTTTAAGTATTGGTGTGAGTGCAATGAATGATCAATAGTCATGTGAAGGCAGCAATACCATGGTCCTTTGAAATTGCTCTGTTAATACACCTCTGCCCTGTTTTCTCTAGGGATGATGTTTCCCAGGCAGCCCCCTCTCTATTACAGCTGCCCCTGATGATTAAATATCAGTATGGTGCAGCTTTGTAGTATATTCTCCTAGGAGACTCCTTCTATTCATTTCTAGCATAATCTCTTCTGCTCATTTCTTGGGAATGAAAACCCATCTTGTCGCTTTAGGCTGCGTCCCAGAAGTGAAATACTGGTGTACATTAATCTGCGGTGACAGTCCAATCCCATTCCCCCCACCTTCCAACAGTCCTCAATTTCATAATTACGTTTCATAGTCTTCCCT